TCGATGACACGTCCAGTTGTCGAGATTGGTAATGTGAGTTTGTAACCCATCCATTGAGGTTCTTGGAATGATTCTATAGCTTATCATTACCATGTTCGGAGTTGGATCATGGGTCTTGGGCGAAGGAATCCTTGATTTACCGCCGTTCGAGTTGAAGGAAGTGTCATAAGGCTAATTTTTTTTTCAATTTTATCGATTTTTTTTAGTGATTTTATTTGATTTTATTTCAATTTTGTCAAACTCACTCAGGTGCTCATCTCAATCATTTAAGCCTTGTTGGCGTTCAATAAGAGAGACCTTGGAAATAACCTGTAACTATTCAACTAGATTATCACATTAACAATTTGAATCAAATAAAGTGACATTAACCATTTGAATCACCTCAACCCCACTCGTTGAACTTGACCAAATGTCTATAACATAACACTAACAAAGGTACAAAGTAACACTAACAAAGGTACAAAGTTCATAAAAGTCTTTTTAATCTAAAATACCATTGAACTTGACCATTATAGTGCCTCTCAAACATAGGTAAAGTTTAAATTCGGGTCTCCTTGTCAAACTCACTCGAGTGCTCATCTCAACCATGATGGCGTTCAATAAGAGAGACCTCGAAAATAGCCAGATTATCGCATTAACCATTTAAATCATCTCAACCCCACTTGTTGAAATTGAAACAAATATCTATAACATAACAGTAACATACTTGTTGAAATTGATCGTGTGGCTTTTTCTTCAAAAGGGTCAACATCAAACGTCAGGTCTTTGATTGGCAACCCATCTAGAGGAGCGTCGATTCCGTCGATTCCATCGATTCCATCAACAGTCTTCCTATGAGTTTATGGTGCATGACCCATTTTTTATACCATTCACCTTCGAGCTCACCATAGTTTTGCATCATCCATGAGAGCGCCACCATAGTTTTGCATCGTCCATGAGATGCATTGCGACCAACGTAACTCTTAGGTCCTATGAGCAAGTTCCAGTAACCTTCAAGTATTGTTCTAGGTCAAAAATAAAGCTTTTTCATTCCTTAGCATCTCGGTTTCCATTTAAGGGGTTGTGTTCTTGGATTTTAAGTTTATTAAGCCCACATGAACTTGGCTTGAGGTGTGGTTCTCTACAGCCCAACTTGTCAAACTCACTCGGGTGCTCATCTCAACCATGACGTTGTTCAACAAGAGAGACCTCGAAAATGACTTAATTATCGCATTAACTGTAAAATAAAATGAAATAAGAAAATAATATTCCATTTGTTGGGAATGGAACCCAAGTCTCCTAAGTGAAAGCCAAATATCCTAACCACTGGACAACAATAAATTTTTGATGTGAATGTGCTGAAGTCTTTTGTCAGATCGCTGAAGAGTTTTAGCATGATCTTTTGCTTAATGTCTAACTCTTCGACAAGTCCTTCCCTATGTGTGTTAGAGTTCTCAGAGTTACCCCGACGATTCGAGCTGTTCGATTGTGTGGCTCTTTCTTCAAAAGAGTCAATATCAAATGTTAGATCTTTGATTGGCAACCCATCCAGGGGAGCGTCGATTGCATCGATTCCATCAACGATCTTCCCATGAGTTTATGGTGCATGACCCATTTTTTATACCATTCACCTTCGAGCACTACCATAGTTTTGCATCGTCCATGGGATGCATGCGGCTAACGTAACTCTCAGGTCGTATGAGAAAGTTCCTATAGCCCTCAACTCTCAGGTCGTATGATAGATTTCTTAGAGCTACCGTGACATTTCGAGGTGTTCGATCGTGTGGCTTTTTCTTCTAAAGAGTCAACATCAAACGTTAGGTCTTTAATTGGCAACCCATCAAGGGGAGCGTCGATTGCATCGATTCCATCAACGATCTTCCCATGAATTTATGGTGCATGACCCATTTTTTATATCATCCACCTTCGAGCGCCACCGTCCATGAGATGCATTGTGGCCAACGTAAATCTTAGGTCCTATGAGCAAGTTCCTGTAACCTTCAAGTATTGTTCTATGTCAAAAATAAAGTTTTTTAATTCCTTGCATCCCAGTTCCCATTTAAGGGTTTGTGTTTTTGGATTTTCAGTTTGTAAAGCCCAACATGAGCTTGGCTTAGGGTGTGGTTCTCTACGACCCTCCTTGTCAAACTCACTCTGGTGCTCATCTTAGTCATCTCAGCCATGATGGCGTTCAACAAAAGAGACCTTGAAAATGATCGGATTATCACATTAACCATTTGAATGACCTCAACGTCACTTGTTGAAATTGAACCAAATATCTATGACACAACACTATTAAAGGTTCAAAGTTCATAAAAGTCTTTTTAATCTAGGATACTATTGAACTTGATTTTTATAGTGCCTCTCAAACCAAGTTCATAAAAGTCTTTTGAATTTAAGATACTATTAAACTCATCCATTAAAGTGCTTCTCAAACCTAGGTAAAGTTTAAATATAATTGGTGACAAAAGATGAAACTATAAAATAAAACAAATAAGAAAATAAAATTTCATTGTCGAGAATCAAACTCGGGTCTCCCTGATGAAAGCCAGATCTTCTGTGTAATGTCTAACTCTTCATCACGTTTTTTTATGTGTGTGATAGAGTTCTCAGAGCTACCGCCACGTTTCTTGTTGTTCGATCCTGTGGCTCTTTCTTCAAAAGAGTCAACATCAAACATTAGGTCTTTGATTTGAAACCCATCCAAAGGAGTGTCGATTGCTTCAGTTCCATCAATGGTTTTCCCATGATTTTTTGGTGCATGACTAGTTTTTTATACAATTAACCTTCAAGCGTCACCATAGTTTTGCATCATCCATGAGATGCATTGTGGGCCAATGTAACTCTCAGGTCCTCTAAGCAAGTTCCTATTATCTTGAACTATAATATCAAAACATATTAACGTATTTGATATGTTAAATATTAAAATAATTGATGTGTGTCATAAACATTAAATAAAAAAATATATTTGAAATTTGAATGAGATTCATATTAATAAAACATATATTATGATATTCTACGACATTTTAATATTATTTAAATAAGATATTATATCTTAATGTATTATGTGTTCAAATATATAATTTGACAAAAATTATCACAAGTTCACCGTAAATAGAACCCTAGGGTTAAGTAAAAAAGCATCAAACCCTAAATACCAACATTTTAGGTGATATTTTGCAGAGGAAGCTGATAAGGTCTTCAAAGAGCATGTGGTCATGTCTGACATTTTAGGTTAACAACATGGTGAAAAGAAACCAGAAATTCTGATACCCGTAATTAACTACAAACCTTTAAATAAGGTTTTAGAATAAATAAGATATCCAATCCAAAACAAAAATGATTTGATAAAAAGAATTTAGAGTCAAATATAAAATTTGACATGAAATTGGGATTTCGGAAAATTCTAATTTCCTAAAAAGACAAATATAAAATAGCATTTATGTCCAATTTAGAAAATATGAGAGGAACTTCATGCCATTTAGGCTAAAAAACGCTCCATCCGAATTTCAGAAGATTATGAATGATATTTTCAATCCTTTCAACAAATTTCGATAGTTTATATTGATGATGTGTTGATATTTGCTAAAACCATTAAGATCAACACTTTAGACATCTACATACATTCATTAATGTAATCAAAAGAAATCAGCTAGTTGTGTACATTCAGTTGTGTCCGTTTTCTTGGATTTTAAATTTATTTGAGCCTTATTAAAACCCATCCAATGGTCTTTGTCTCAAACTTTGGTGATGCCGTATCCTAACAAAGCCAACTTCAAAAAAATTTTAGGTTCTCTCAATTATGTGTCTTATATCCTTCAAGATATCAGACACATTTACAAATGTCTTGATGAGTGTCTTCAAAATAATACAAAGTCTTGATTTGTAAGGGATATCTCTACAACCCAGAAAAATCAAATCATTAGTCAAATAAACTCTCTACTTAAGTCTTATAGATCCAAGGGCAGATCTCATAATAAAACGTGATGCATCAAATATCCGATGTGGAGGTATCTAAAATTGTCAAAGAGGACAGAGAATCAATTATCATATTTCATTCAAAAGCCTCCAATAATACCATACAAATTAAAAATAGTAAAAAAAAAAAAAAAAAATATTCTTTCCATGGTACCCTGTGTACAAACATTTTTAAAGAAAATTTAATTAACAAAACTATTAAAATTTATTCGAGAGTCAAATTTAGTTTTAGAAAAAGAAGGGAATAATCTAGTTTCAAAAAAAAAAAAAAATTTTGCTAGATAGAAGTAAATTTTGTTGTGGTTTGATTTTAAAATTATACCTATAAAAGAAGTTGAAAACACCTTGGGAGATTACCTATGGGAGAATTTCTAACAAAGTCTCTCTTCTCTCCTCTGTCTTCTCAAACTCATACTAATCCAACCAAACATTTGTATGGACTCAAAAGTTCAATTACATATAAAAAAAAGTTCAAAACACCTTGTGAAAGTCTGTAAGGATACTATGACCTATAGCTTTGCAAAATTCAGCGTTGTTGGCACTTATCAAAATCGCTGCCAAAATAAACTTTAACAAGGGGTTCTATGGTGTAGTGGTTAGCACTTTCGACTTTGAATCTAACGACCTGTGTTTAATCTCCGATAGGTAATCCACCAATTTATACAAAATTGGTCTACAGCCGATTCGGTAGGGTCACTTTTGGACCGATAATCTGTAGAAGGGGTCACTAAGGTTGAGATCATACAAAATGGGTCCATAGCTCAATGTTATAGCATTTGATTGCTGATCAAGATTCTCGAATTCGGACTTAGTTGGGCCCTTCTATCTTGGATAGAAATTTGTTACACTTTTTGGACTGACACTATGTCTAAGGGGTCACTAAGGTTAAAATCCTACAAAATGGATCCATGGCTCAATGGTGGAGAATTTGACCGGTCACCCGTTTGAACTTGGTTGGGCCATTTTTTTTTGGACAGACACTTTTTACACTTTTGGACTGACACTCTCTAGAAGGGGTCACTAAGGTTGAAATCATGTAAAATGGGTCCATAGCTTAGTGGTAGAGCATTTGACTGCAGATTAAGAGATCATCAGTTTGAATCTGATTGGGCCCTTTTATTTTGGACAAAGCCGACCACCAAGTGTCTAAAGGAAAAGAAATAAGAATAATTATCAATTCCAAACCTTATTCCAAAGTCCTCCACCACATAGAACCATGTACTTAGAACCTAAGGGCCACTGTTCTCGAACAAGAATCAAGAAATCATTAAGAAAAGTGTGTGGTATCCAAACACCCACTATGAACATGGTCAAAAACTTACAATTAGGCTACTTAATGAGTCTTGTAACTAAGGACAAACAACACCGACTATTGTTGATATTTTTAATACAATGTAAATGTAAATATATGTGTTCATTATATTTTAATTATTTTTTTATTTCGAGAAAATATTCTACTTTGTTTTGAACCTCTCTTAACTTGCAATCGGTGCTTCGAGAACCCACCGAAAATGGGTCATGACTCTCTTTTTGTTTTCACTTACTCCTAAATCTATAAAATGTCTCCTATTTTTATTCCTAAGTTTGCCGGCGGCATTGTTTGTTGTCGAGCTTGATAATGTGAGTTTGTAACCCATCCGTTAGGGGTCTTGGAATGATTCTCTAGATTATCCCTTCCATGTTAGGAGTTGGGCCATGGGTCATGGGTGAAGGAACAGTTGGTTTACCGCCCCTAAGAGTTAAGTTGAGGCTAGTTTCACATAGTATGATTGCCTTTGAGATTACAATTCTTTTCTATTTTATCTAAAGTTTTTTAAATATGGGATCATTTCCAAATGCATGCTAACCCCCTTATTGTTGAATAAATGACTATTATGATTATAAGTCAACTGAGTTGAGTTAAGTGGAAATAAATTTTGAAGGTGAAATTAAAGTATTAATTTTGATGTCATTTTTACCTTAAGTTTTGGGATATTGTTATTAATGAGATTCAATCTAATGCCATTAGAAAAAGAATGGTCAACATAAGATATTTGAAACAAATAAATATTTTGTCCTCTGTGATATATCAAATCACTCCTTTGAAATTCCTTAATAATAAACCTGAAGTCTTACATCTTTTATAGAGGAAAGTTCCTTAAATAGAAGTCTTATTAGATACTTCTAAGCATTTAGAGATCAACTAGACACAAAGATAAATATTCTAAAAAAAATTAGGGGTTAAACTTTTAGTTAACGTAATTTAAGAAACTTATGATTTTTATATTATCAAGAGTTTAATTGAGCTAGGTCGATTCAATCTAGTGGACCCAAGAATTGAACCGAACAAAACCAACCAGTTAGTAACATGATTTAGTGAAAGCATTTTCACGCAAAGTAGAAGCAATAATGGAGGGTTTGAAATAATATAGTTTTCACCCCTTGTTTCTCGAGTGAATATTGAAATAATATAGTTTTCATGTTAAGTTTTGCACGGAAGAAAGAAAGACTAGGATGTAAAGTATTATTTCAATTTGTTTGTAATATACAACAATATATAAATTAACTATAAGAAATATATAAAATTACATGTTCTCTAAGAGCTTCAATCAACACTGGAGGGTTACTTCTGCAACCACTCTAAAGGTGCTCAAGATCACAACGAGTTAGATAAAACAGCTCTAGAACTTTGAATCCAATAACTTGAGTTTGACTCGTGATAGGATCTCTCTTCTTGTGGAATCTTCATAAAATAGGAAAAACCATTCCAAAATAAATTTTTACAAGGGGTTCTATGGTGTAGTGGTTAGCACTTTGGACTTTGAATCCAACGACCTGGGTTCAACTCCCGGTAGGACCTTTAAGAACGACAACACAAATCATTCTTAAGTTATTCTGAACTTGCTCCGCTTCATGCCTTCCAAGGCTTCATGAACATGACCTTTGCTTGAGGTATTGTTGTTGGTATCATTTGAACCCGACCTTTTTAGGAACTAAACCTTAGAGGTTGTCATGTCATGCATGCATGGATCCTAGCAAGTTGTTAAGCATGATATTTGCATTAACCTAGGTGTTCCTAGGTTTATGCATAACGTCTTCGGTTAAGCTTTTGGAACTTATACCACTTTAGTTATCCTAGGAGGTAAAGTCATATGGAACGTGATGAGTATTTCCTCCCATATCTTGGTTTCGCTAACTAAAGTTTTTCCAATAACTCCCAAACTCCATTATATTATATAACCTCTCGAGATAAGGATTCATACAACATTTCATAAAATAAGATCTACTGAGAAATCCCGAGGAAAGGTCAAATTTTGAGTTGACTTGGACAGTTTAGTTCAATTGGCCGTATCATCGTTTTCTTCCTCTGAATAGGAAGAAGATGCGCATTTTTCGCATCGCCGCTATCTGAAACTCGGCCTATACAGCCACATTTACAGTGTTTCTCTCCATGATTTCTTCATGAAACTTAAAGATGGATGTTACAAGAAACGGCTAGGAATTTATTTGATAACTTTTCGTGGATCGTAGCATAAGATATTCGCTACCAAAGATCATCTAAAATCTAATTTATCGCTGGAGATAAAACAAAGGATTTCTTATTGGGTAGCCGATTCTAGGGGTTTCAAGGCCCTATTTCTTCATCAAACCCCTTCCATATCCTATCTTCAGGATAAAAGAATTGTTTTGGAGGAACGTCTTTGAGTGTAGGACCTTAATTTCCAAAAATCGTTCTCGGTATGCAACTCACTCGAAACGCCAGATTTTCGATCTCGTGGGTAGTTTGTTCTACGACGTCTTAGCTCTCGATTCCTTCATCAAGTTTCGAAACCAATTTCCTTCAATTTGGCACGCGCTCGAGGTTATTTTTCTTCGTGGTCTTCTATGGAAGCATTCCTTGGAGGTGCAGAAACTGATTGGAATCATTCTTGCTCGACGAGTCATCATGTATCCTCGGATTGGATTTTAAAGTTTTTCTTGAAGTTCTTCAATGGCGGATTGAATTGGGGGAATGGTTTCTGAGCACTTTCAGCACTCTATTTCTTCATAGAACTTGTGGGTAATCTTGTTGAGAAACTGTAGGAATAAGTTTGAAGAGAAATGGTGGAGGATTGCTCTCGAATTTGGAAGAAATATGAGAGTAGGAGACCCACAATCTAAACGCTTATTGCCTTCAATTGGGGGATCGACCTTTCTCGACTATTATTCCGTATTGTTGCTCCTACTTCCGACCTTATAGGAGGAGCTTAAACCGACATTGAGAACTCTAGAATCTTCGTTATTTAGAGATCGAACTTTCTGGATAATTTTGTGGGGATATCAACTCCGATCATAGTCTTACCGACCTTGGTTTTGAATACTACTCATTGGATGTGATGATCCGTGCATGTTCGTTCTAGATCATATCAAATTTTGGAAGAGATCTGACGGTCGAGATTTGAGTTCGAAAGATTTTTCTCGGATAATCACGATAGATGCTCTGATTCTAATTAGAGTGGCATTTCTATAATTATCCATTCTTCCAGTGGTATTTTGGTAACTTGCCACTTTCTGAATATTTTATTATTATTTTTCTTGAAAAAATCCATAATTTTTCTACAAATTTCTGATCACTTTATTTATTTATTTATTTATTTTTTTGAATATTGAGATTCCTTCTGCATAAGGAATTACAAACCCGGAAAGATTATTGATAATTGATAAAATGACTTTTTTTCTCTTTTGATTTACTTTTTCCTTTCCAATCCTTTTCAAAAGGCCTTTTAACTCCTTGAAATCACTTGTTAGGGTACACGAGTGACTTGACTAAGTCCTTTGTTCTTGCTTAAGTGGTAATAAATTTTGAAGATGAAATTAAAGTATTAATTTTGATGTCATCTTTACCTGAGTTTTGGGATATTGTTATTAATGAGATTCAATCTAATGCCATTAGAAAATGAATGGTCTAACATAACATATTTGAAACAAATAAATATTTTGTCCTCAGTGATATATCAAATCACTCATTTGAAATTCTTTAATAATAAACCTAAAGTCTTACATCTTTTATAGAGGAAAGTTCCTTAAATAGAAGTCTTATTAGATACTTCTAAGCATTTAGAGATCAACTAGACACAAAGATAAATATTCTAAAAAAAATTAGGGGTTAAACTTTTAGTTAACGTAATTTAAGAAACTTATGATTTTTATATTATCAAGAGTTTAATTGAGTTAGGTCGATTCAATCTAGTGGACCCAAGAATTGAACCGAACAAAACCAACCAGTTAGTAACATGATTTAGTGAAAGCATTTTCACGCAAAGTAGAAGCAATAATGGAGGGTTTGAAATAATATAGTTTTCGCCCCTTGTTTCTCGAGTGAATATTGAAATAATATAGTTTTCATGTTAAGTTTTGCACGGAAGAAAGAAAGACTAGGATGTAAAGTATTATTTCAATTTGTTTGTAATATACAACAATATATAAATTAACTATAAGAAATATATAAAATTACATGTTCTCTAAGAGCTTCAATCAACACTGGAGGGTTATTTCTGCAACCACTCTAAAGGTGCTCAAGATCACGAGTTAGATAAAACAGCTCTAGAACTTTGAATCCAATAACTTGAGAATCTACATAAAATAGAAAAAACCATTCCAAAATAAATTTTTACAAGGGGTTCTATGGTGTAGTGGTTAGCACTTTGGATTTTGAATCCAACGACTTGTGTTCAACTCTCGATAGGACCTTTAAGAACAACAACACAAATTTTTTTGAGGCATAAGGTGTAACATTCTTAAGCGCTTCATGCCTTCCCAGGCTTCATGAACATGACCTCTGCTTCAGGTATAGTTGTTGGTTCTCAATCTTGCATGTTTCTAACGTAATCATTTGAACCTGTCCTTTTCAGGAACTAAACCTTAGATGTTGTCATGTCATGCATCGTATTTTAACCATGAAAACTCTTCCGAAGTAACTCTTAATTTTCTCCCCATGAGTGCATAGGTGGCGTTGTCATAATCATGGCATCGTGGTGCAGTAACTCTTAATTATCGTGGTGCAGATCTCATTTAGGTGAGGGAGATAATAAGTTCATCATGGAATCCTGCTCATGGTACATATACCATAGCATCCCACCTAAAGAAGAATAGACGG